AACTTTGGCAATGGAAGTTATCAAACAGATAATTAATGCTGTTTGACACCTTATCAATGGAAATTATCCATATTCTTTCTACTAAAATACCATGTTTCTGATGGAAACTGGTACCCAATAGAAAATAATTGCATAATACTGATACGTCATTGCTAATGTTGGAAATTTTGCCTTCATTGTGGTCTGCCCCTAGTTGCCTAATTGCGGCGTTTGGGTTGCATTCATTGCAACCTCCATCTCCTTTATTGTGTTAGGCGTGAAGGGGTAGATTTAGTTCCACATTGCTTAGAGATATAACATCTGTAGTGTTAATAAGTGGGGGCAATCCTCACCTTATAAGCTGTTTTTGAAGGAATGAGTTAACCCCAACCAACACTTTCCTAAGATGGTATCAGAGCCTATCTAGATTTGTTGTTGGGCTTTCCGCATATGGTATCAGAGTCATCTAGATCTGTTGTTGGGCTTGCTGCATAGTCCATGCGTTGGGCTCATTGAGGCCCAAGCATGCCTAAATATTAAATACTGGGCCCAACTATGATAGTTTCACTGTATAGTTCTTAGCCTCTGGTTCCATATCTAATAAGGGTCATTTCTGCAAGAAAAACTTTCTATTTATCACATTTCTGACACAGTTTCATCAATAACCAAATTTCATGACAGTCTAACTCTGCATCTGAATTTGATGTCAGGGAGCTACGAGAAACCACCATCATCTTGGCTGGAATGCTTGACACATACTTAAATATCTTGGTTAGTTCACTTTCAGACTGTTGCTCATTCGCCTCGCTCAATGCTTTTCCTGTTTGCAACATTTTCAATATTCATAATTTATTAGGTTTCCTTGAATGTTACATTTGTATTATTTCAATTTTGTTTAATCGACACTTTCTTACTGGACATAGCTGCCATCTAATTCTCATGAATTGCAGGCTTTGGGGCTTTTGTTTCTTGTTTTTGCAAGTTGGGTGGCTTATGTGATTTTTGAAGATACAATACAGGGGAAAACAGTATTCACTTCTTATACTACAACGTTATATCAGATGTTTCTGTTATTTACCACAGCCAATAATCCAGATGTTTGGGTTCCTGCTTACAAGTAAGTTTTAATTTATAATTTGAATTCGCTTGGCTAGATAACTTTTTTCCTTTTAATTTGAGACATCTGCAGCTGTCAATGCTTATTATTTTCTGGCTTTTAAGGGCTTCACGTTGGTCTTGCATTTTTTTCATTCTGTTTGTACTGGTGGGAGTCTACTTTGTTACAAACTTGATCCTTGCCGTTGTTTATGATAGTTTTAAGAGTGAGGTAAATTTTTCCTTACCACTACTTTTCTTTATATTTGACCTGATGATACAATTACAACTTTGAAGAATTGGATTGGTATTTACTTGGAATGAAGCACAAGAATTTTGATTGTGTATCTACATGACGGATACCAAAACATATTATAACAGTGCTTAAATATTCTTTTGTTATAGCTTGTAAAACAAGTTTTTAAGATGGATCGTATGAGAAGAGCTATGTTGGAGAGAGCTTTTAATCTCCTAGATACATATGTAAGTATGACTTTTCATGTATTTAGGATACTGTTTTCCTGTCAGACAATGCTTCCTAGATAATGTCAAACAACTACATTTCATTATAATATATATTTTTTTTGAGATGTAATTAGTAATAGCTATAGCCTATATGAATGGAAAGGGAAGGTTGAAGTGAAACGTTGCCGCATCTGATAACTGGGGCATGGGATGGGTCCATTAACAATTATAAGGGGAGGCTTTCTAGACAAAGTAGTGTAGGATTAAAAATAATGATGCGTTAGGTGTCATATGATTGGTATTACTTCAGTTGATGATCCAGAGATCTAATATAGTACTGGAAACATTAAAGCAGAGATACTAAACTTGGAACGGACAATCCAACCAGTTCATCTTGTTGAAATACAAGAGACTAAGAGACATTTGAATAAACCGTGTGTTTTGAAAAGCACTACGGAGACATTATTATATATAAATAGATTACACCTAATTACATAATATAGTCGATGTGGGACTATTCTATATACAAATAGTCTTAACACTTTATATATATATTTACAAATATCAACACTCCCCCTCAAGCTTGAACATATAAGTCAAATGCACCAAGCTTGTTACATATATAGTTAGTTCTGGGGCTTCGTAGGGATTTTGTAAACACATCTGCCAATTGATCATTAGAGTTGACAAAGCTTGTGACAATGTCGCCTGACTCGATCTTCTCTCTGACAAAGTGACAGTCTATCTCAATATGTTTGGTCCTCTCATGAAAGACTGAATTTGAAGCAATGTGCAATGCAGCTTGATTATCACAAATAAGTGTCATTGGTCTTGCTTCTTCAATTTGAAGTTCCTTGAGCAACTGTTTTAACCAAATAAGTTCACATGTTGCCATTGCCATCGCCCTATACTCTGCCTCGGCGCTTGATCTTGCAACTACATTTTGTTTCTTACTTTTCCAGGATATAAGGTTTCCTCCAACAAGTACACAATACCCAGAGGTGGATCGTCTATCAATGGGTGACCCTGCCCAATCAGCATCAGAGTATCCAATTATCTGGGTATGTCTTTTATCCTCATACACAAGACCTTTTCCTGGAGCACATTTGATGTATCTCAAAATCCGGATAACAGCATCCATATGTTCCTGACAAGGGGAATTTAAAAACTGGCTTACCACACTGACTGCAAAAGAAATGTCCGGACGAGTGACTGTGAGATAATTCAACTTTCCAACCAATCTCCTATACCTTCCTGAGTCAGATAGAGGCTCCCCCTGATTGGGTAGTAATTTAACACTTGGATCCATAGGAGTATCGGCTGGTTTAGCATTTAACAAACCTGTTTCTTCCAAAATATCCATAGCATATTTCCGCTGAGAAATCACCAAACCATCTTTAGATTGGGCTACTTCAATACCCAAGAAATAACGGAGTTTACCAAGATCTTTTGTCTGAAATTGTTTCGAGAGATGTTGTTTCAACTGGAGTATTCCCTGCTGATCACTACCAGTTATGACAATGTCATCTACATACACAATAAGATAAATACACCCTTGGGGTGAGTGACGATAAAAAACAGAATGGTCAGCTTCACTACGGATCATACCAAACTGTTATACTACAGTGTTGAATCTGCCAAACCAAGCTCTCGGAGATTGCTTAAGACCATAAAGAGACCTGTGTAGCCTACAAACCATATTCGATGACTCCCCCTGAGCAACAAACCCAGGTGGTTGCTCCATATATACTTCCTCTTCAAGATCGCCATGTAAGAATGCATTTTTGATGTCAAGTTGATGAAGAGACCAATGTCGAATGGCTGCAATGGCTAGAAGAAGTCTAACAGATGCCATCTTGGCTACAGGTGAAAAGGTATCACCATAATCCAACCCAAAAATTTGAGTGTATCCTTTGGCTACTAAGCGAGCTTTAAAGCGATCAATCTTGCCATCTGGACCAACCTTCACTGTATAAAGCCAACGACAACCTACTAAAGATTTTCCATGGGGTAGAGGAACCAGTTCCCAGGTACCACTGCTTTGAAGAGCACACATTTCATCAATCATTGCTTGCCTCCACTCAGGGTGAGATAATGCTTCACCTGGAGTTTTAGGAATAGAAACAGAAGACAAAGAAGACAAACAAGTATACTGCAAAGGGGAAAGACGATGATACCATGTTAAGAAATGTGGTTGGGCCTAACTCAACCCTACAAAACCGGTTGGTAGAGTGAGGATTGCCCCCACTTATAAACACATGTTTATGCCATATATTGTCCGATGTGGGACTCTTAACACCCCCCTCACGCTCAGGACTGGACAACTGAAGCGTGGAAATAAATGGTGGGTGGCCCGATAGCGGAAACCATAGAAGGTGGCCCACCGGATCTTAAACGAGGCTCTGATACCATGTTGAAATACAAGAGACTAAGAGACATTTGAATAAACCGTGTGTTTTGAAAAGCACTACGGAGACATTATTATATATAAATAGATTACACCTAATTACATAATATAGTCGATGTGGGACTATTCTATATACAAATAGTCTTAACACTTTATATATATATTTACAAATATCAACACATCTAGAGCCAAATTCATAGCCAGTCCAATCAGCCTATTTGACGATTGTGCACTAGAACCGGGGATGATGTCATATACTTGGCTGCAAACCAGAGAAAACTGGTAGACTCGACTGAATCAGCTTGGTTGGATGACTCATATTTTGCCATTCTTTCACTCATGTGCAAAGCTTTTATTGGTACACGGTTTTTAATGCTGACTGGTGTGCCTCCCAAACCTTTACTCATAACTCAGGCAACAGTTCCGATGCTACACTGTCAGCCTGTAATGCTCACGAGTTGCAGGAAGGCTTTTCATTCTCACATTCATTAGTGACTTGTTGTTTCTGATGGAAGTTGCAGAATTTGGAAAAAAAGATCCTACCAGGAACTGAACCATGTATATTTGCATATTTTAAACGCAAATGGTCCATGCTGTTCAACTAGTGGCCTACTGGTTTGACCAGGGACCCACTGATTCAGTACCCTTACCGAGTCGATAGCCGATGTGAGTTTAATAACGCTGGGTTGAAGGATGAAAAAGTAGAACTCTTACCCATCATGGTTAAACAATGAGTGTTGGAGTATTTACTAACGGAGTATTTACTAACTGTTGAAATACAAGAGACTAAGAGACATTTGAATAAACCGTGTGTTTTGAAAAGCACTACGGAGACATTATTATATATAAATAGAATACAAGTAATTACATGATATAGTCGATGTGAGACTATTCTATATACAAATATTCTCAACACTATATATATATATTTACACATATCAACACTCCCCCTCAAGCTTGAGCATATAAGTCAAATGCACCAAGCTTGTTACATATATAGTTAGTTCTGGGGCTTCGTAGGGATTTTGTAAACACATCTGCCAATTGATCATTAGAGTTGACAAAGCTTGTGACGATGTCGCCTGACTCGATCTTCTCTCTGACAAAGTGACAGTCTATCTCAATATGTTTGGTCCTCTCATGGAAGACTGGATTTGAAGCAATGTGCAATGCAGCTTGATTATCACAAATAAGTGTCATTGGTCTTGCTTCTTCAATCTGAAGTTCCTTGAGCAACTGTTTTAACCAAATAAGTTCACATGTTGCCATTGCCATGGCCCTATACTCTGCCTCGGCGCTTGATCTTGCAACTACATTTTGTTTCTTACTTTTCCAGGAGATAAGGTTTCCTCCAACAAGTACACAATACCCAGAAGTGGATCGTCTATCAATGGGTGACCCTGCCCAATCAGCATCAGAGTATCCAATTATCTGGGTATGTCTTTTATCCTCATACACAAGACCTTTTCGTGGAGCACATTTGATGTATCTCAAAATCCGGATAACAGCATCCATGTGTTCCTGACAAGGGGAATTTAAGAACTGGCTTACCACACTGACTGCAAAAGAAATGTCCGGACGAGTGACTGTGAGATAATTCAACTTTCCAACCAATCTCCTATATCTTCCTGAGTCAGATAAAGGCTCCCCCTGATTGGGTAGTAGTTTAACACTTGGATCCATAGGAGTATCAGCTGGTTTAACATTTAACAAACCTGTTTCTTCCAAAATACCCATAGCATATTTCCGCTGAGAAATGACCAGACCATCTTTAGATTGGGCTACTTCAATACCCAAGAAATAGCGGAGTTTACCAAGATCTTTTGTCTGAAATTGTTTCGAGAGATGTTGTTTCAACTGGAGTATTCCCTGCTGATCATTACCAGTTATGACAATGTCATCTACATACACAATAAGATAAATACACCCTTGGGGTGAGTGACGATAAAAAATAGAATGGTCAGCTTCACTACGGGTCATACCAAACTGTTGTACTACAGTGCTGAATCTGCCAAACCAAGCTCTCGGAGATTGCTTAAGACCATAAAGAGACCTGTGTAGCCTACAAACCATATTCGATGACTCCCCCTGAGCAACAAACCCAGGTGGTTGCTCCATATATACTTCCTCTTCAAGATCACCATGTAAGAATGCATTTTTGATGTCAAGTTGATGAAGAGACCAATGTCGAATGGCTGCAATGGCTAGAAGAAGTCTAACAGATGCCATCTTGGCTACAGGCGAGAAGGTATCACTATAATCCAACCCAAAAATTTGAGTGTATCCTTTGGCTACCAAACGAGCTTCGTCCGTCCAGCGTGATATTTTCTCTCTTCTGATACCATGTTAAGAAATGTGGTTGGGCCTAACTCAACCCTACAAAACCGGCTTATAGAGTGAGGATTGCCCCACTAATAAACACATGTTCATGCCATATATTGTCCGATGTGGGACTCTTAACACACCCCCTCACGCTCAGGACTGGACAACTGAAGCGTGAAAATAAATGGTGGGTGGCCCGATAGCGGAAACCATAGAAGGTGGCCCACCGGATCTTAAACGAGGCTCTGATACCATGTTAAGAAATGTGGTTGGGCCTAACTCAACCCTACAAAACCGGCTTATAGAGTGAGGATTGCCCCACTAATAAACACATGTTCATGCCATATATTGTCCGATGTGGGACTCTTAACACTAACAGAAGGTTGAACAACCATAAAACATAAAATAAAGACTTAAAGATAGAACAGAAAATAACTCAATTAGGGTTCTCTAGTTGCCAAAAAGAATCAAACAAAGAAATCAACCCTCTAAAACTAAGCCTGGACAGCTGCAGTTCATGTTGATCAACGCCAGTCAAAATCAACATTTATTTTTGAAATGTTATTGGAAAAGTTCTGATGTGGCCGGTTAAAGCTGCAGGAAAGTCATGGCTATCACTGGAAAAGTTTTAACCGTGGCGGGAAAGTCACCTTAAAGTTTCTGAATGCTTCTGGGAAATTCTGACAGTGGTAGGTAGTGGCAGTCAGATGCAACAGCTATGAAGGCTGTTAAGCAGTATGGAACTATGCACTATGCAACAATGAAGGCTGCTATCAGATAATTTAATTGTACTGCAATTAAGGCTGCTCAAAGGAAGAATAACAGTACATCTGTGCAAGGACCAGAAATTTCAGAATCAATCAAGAGTTCTGATCCCATGTGAAAACATTGGGAAACTCATTGTAGTATTACTTCAGAATACAAGCTCTATTTATAGACAAATTATAACGAATGTAACCAGAAAGGACTTATGACATCTGGAATACAAGCTTGAACTATGGTATTAAAAATAGCACTCTACTATTTTGAGTATAGCACTACAATCTGTCTAGGACTAATGCTAAAGGTTATTGTTACAATAATCACTACAACAAAGAAGAGATGAATATCTTTATGCCTGCAACTCTAAATCTGTTTGAGCTTCTGTTTTATACTTGCAGAATGTTGGATATCTCAACAAGGATCAAATCATTAGGCTCTTTGAGGAAGTGAACAAGTACAGGTATTACTTCATATTTCCCCATTATCACCGTGCTTTCATATTTATCATAATATCATTTTATTGATTTTTCAAAGTAGAGATATTATTAACCACGATTTTCAGGTGTATATTTAAACACAAATTGTGATTAATAGATATCATGTATGTTTGAAAACCTGAAAATCATGTATATTTTAACACAGTTTGAATGATTATAATGAAAATCATGCATATTTGAACACCTAGAAATCTTAGTTAATGATGTTAAAAAGTTGTGGTTAGTTGTGTTCAGTTGATGGTTAATGAGTAGTGACACCTTGTTATATTCATTAACCATTCACTAAACGTAATACACCACATATTTGAATTATGTTAACCATGAGATTTGTTATCAAAATTTGTTGTCAAATTGTGTCAAACTAACAAAACTCTGCATTTTTGGTGAATTGGCACTACATATTTTATGACGTGATGGTTATCTGTTTATCTTTCTCTTGGCTTCTAACTTCATATCTTTTAAATAATATTTCTAATACATTGCGAGTGTTAAAGCATAAATTGTCTATTCTTTAGGACTTTGCCAAAAATCTCCAAGGAAGAATTTGAGCTGATATTTGAGGAGCTGGATGACACTCATGATGTAAAAGTAATGTTTTTTCTCTACTGTTCTTGTCATCTGTTATGCACATGCTGATATATATCCGCATACATACGTGTTTTAATGTAACTCAACGTAATTTTTACTTTCAGATCAACAAGGATGAATTTGCTGATATTTGCAATGCCATTGCTTTAAAATTCCAGAAGGAAGATGTGGTAAGTTTAAGTACTCTGGATTTAAAATATATGGAAATGTACTGCAAAGTATAAACGTAAAAATTTATAGTATTTTCACTAATATCTGATTTGGTTGCAGCTTTCTTACTTCGACTATTTAGTATTCTACCATTCACCAACGTCAAAGAGATTGAAAGCTTTTGTAAGGAGCACCATGTTTGGATACATAGTGACCTTTGTACTCATAGTGAATCTGGTTGCCGTAATTATTGAGACAACGGTATGACATGTTATTCAAGTGAAGATATACATTCACAAATTTTTACACCATTAAGCACTTTCATAACTCATTTTAACGGACCATAATCTCATCTGATGTGACCCTATGTTAGATATACCTGCGTTTGTCAATGTTTTTTTGTAATCAGTAGGTGCTATTTATTGTAATAATCATTTAAGAGTACGATGTCTAGTGAATGCTTTATTCACTGGCGCACAGTCCAAATGGATGTTTGTTTTATTGACGGTTAGCTATCCTAACTTCTCCTGATTTACTGTTCATGGGAATATTGTGACAATGTGAGCGTGATCTTTATTTCAAGGAAGAGCATAATTTTCCAAATTCAGTGACCAAAATCTCCTTAATTAGTAGCATTTTCACTTGATAATCTTTTGTTATAATGACATATCAACAGGCAAGGGCAGTTTACTTTATTGTGGATGTATAAATAAGATCATATGATCTCCTAGACTCTGTCTATAACTTTGGGATACTATCAATTTAATAACATATGATCTCCTTTCATGTGCAAGCTGTTGGGGATTTTTTTATATCCACATGTTGATCATTTTGTATTAATTCATAATTGCAGCTCGACATAGAAAATAGTTCTGCTCAAAAGGTTTGGCAAATGGTTGAGTTCATTTTCGGTAAGGACGTCCAGACAGCGTATTCCTTGTTTTTTCTTGATGTTTCGATTTATGAATTCTCTTTAGTATTGTAAATTTTGTTGCTTGGTTTGAAGGAGATGATTGTTAGAGTATTATAAATATCTTAAAATATTTTTTATATTATTTTAGAGTATCTCTTATAATAGTTATTATTATCATGATTTCTTCTTGGTTTAGGGTTTATTCTATGTATAAATGGATCAATATTGAGTATTTTATATAGTGAATATCAATCATATTTCACTATAATAGTTTTAGTTTTTATTATTTGCTCTCCTCCTTTTACATAAAATCTCAAGACTTCAACAATGACGATATTAAAACAATTCCCCTCTGTTTTTGTTGATTTGTCAGTGAGACCCCCTGACGCTGTTGGATAACTTTATGTTTTCTATTTTGCTTTGGTACATTTTGTTTCATTGTAATCCACAGAATGTTAATAGTTGTACAATCTTGTTATTCCAAGTTGATCGCTCCTTGTTGTTTTACAGGGTGGATATATGTAATAGAAATGCTTCTAAAGGTTTACTCATATGGATTTGAAAACTATTGGCGGGATGGTCAGAATCGCTTTGATTTTGTGATCACAGTGATAATTGGTAACTAATTTCATAAATGCGGTATTTAGATTCCTTAAATAACATGTGGTTGAATCCATGGAGTTTTTGGCTTTTGTCATGAAATATTTTGTTTGTAGACCCCATATTAGTCAGTTCGTCTGTTGGTTTGTTTGTTAGAGATGGGAATAAGAGGATGTAAATAATAGGAGGAAAAGACTAGTGAAATCATTCATTCATGAGTGAAAAGAGGAGTCTTGGAACTTCTGGATATGGAGGTTTCCAGCCTCTCAATGATCTGCATATTTTCTTTTTCATGTAATAAAATTCCAGGTTCCTGTCATATTAGTAATATTGATTAGTGTCTAGAATCTGCTGTTGTAGGTTTATTATGCATTCATTCACTTTTAGGCCTTGAATTTGTATTGTATGGGAAAACCCAGTTTCTAAGGCTATGTTATCTTGCTGACTGATAATTCTAAATTTTGCAGTCATTGGAGAAACTATAGATTTTGCTTTTCCCGATGATGCTCTGCCATTTTTCACAAATGGAGAATGGTATGAAATTTTATTATGAATGTTCATTTCTTCCAAATTTTTATTTTGTATTCACAACTCCACTGATTGAAATGTATACTTAATGGAGAGGCTGCAAACCTCCATATAGTAAAATAGCGTCTCATGATTCTTCGTTTTCTCTTTATAATAATTTTCGATACACTATTTCTACAACAACATTTAAAAATAAAAAAAATAATCAATAAACATGAGTTACATAAATGTGGATAGTTAGTGGTTACATAAATAAAACATATGCAGATCATTGTGAGGATAGTTTTGCTCAAATTTAATTTTCTTCAAAATTAATTCTGATGTAATCAAAATTAATCAGAAGGATAGTTTTGCTCAAATTTTATTTTCTTCAAAACAAAACATGATTTTCCTTTTCAAATTGGAATTTAAAAGAAAATGATACCGTATTGGACTCGGTTCCTTTTCTACCATACCAGGAAAGTAGTATATTAATTTGAAGATGGGAATTGGTTCAAAGAATGATTTCAATTTGTTCTCAAGAATTGCTTTGAAGATGCAATCAGACATTGTTTTTCCTGTTCCGATTGCAGGATTCGTTACCTCCTTCTTGCAAGAATGTTGAGGTTGATAAGGCTCCTAATGCATGTCCAGCGATTCCGAAGTTTCGTGGCAACTTTCTTAACTCTGATACCAAGTTTGATGCCATACCTTGGGACCATATTTTGTATCTTGTGTATTTATTGCTCACTTGGCGTCCAGGTGAGTAAAATTCTTGAGTCAAGGTTCTGCTTAGGTTTACAAGTTAAATTAAGGATTCATTGTATATTTTCAATTTCAATGATTGTATTCTCTTTTCTTGTTCTTTCTACAATCAATGAGCCAACTTTACACTTGTCTTTGTATTTGTAGATTTTTGGTGGTTTAGTTAATGCTGGAAACCCAGATTTAGAGGCCACAGACCTTGCTGCTAATGAGTATCCTTTGTTCATTTTTAAAACTATATTTTTAAACCTGTAGCGATTGGTATTGTCCTGTAATAACCACATCTCTTCCTCAACATTTTTTCTAGGGTGAGAGGGTGGGGTTGGGTCTACAATCTAGGGTAATTGTTTTTCTTGAGGTATTCTTCTTGACATAAATTAGCTATTTACTTTTTAATTTCAATGATTATCCAAACGGAATGGTGGCACTATTCAATTTCCTAGTCTCGGGGATGTGGGAAGAATTGATGGAGGTATATGTGCTGTCTCTAATCCTTGTCACTTTCAATGGCATCTTTTGTTTCATGATAATGCAATGACTAATGAGAAGTACAAATGTTGCAGGCTTGCCGCTACTATTCAGTTCTATCTGATTCTTTTGTTCCTTGAATAATTATCTGGCAATTAGTGTAGAAATTCTGTATTTCTTATTGAGTTTGTACATAATAGAATAGGATATATATATAACCTAGGGAGTACAAGTAACTAAAGAAACTAATTAAGTCCTAATTAACTCAAATTAATCCCTATATACAAGAATGGAAATATTTTATATGGCTGTGTAAATAAGTATAAATGTATTCATATAATACAACTATAAAATCTGCATTGCTGTCCCTTATTAATGGCTGCATATCTGTGCCTTAATGGTTTCAGATCAGCAACCAACAATTAGAATCTTGTTATTCTGGTTCTGATCCGGTAGTATTTTGTTGAAAAATAAACAAGATAATATTATTTCTCTAAGCTTAATATTTGTGTTTAATACTTGGGACTTGTTTGATTTGCAAAAACAGGATTGGACAACACAAATAATTGTTGAATATTTATTTTATAAAATTATCGTTGGACAGGACAACACACGAGATGAGTTACATCATAGAATTTCAAAATCTTATTACTAAACAATCTATTAAAAGACAAATATTGATTTTTATGTCCTGGTTAATAAGTATACTACTTTCTTATCTCCCTTGCTCCCTCTATGTATTAAAGAAAACATTAGTCCAGTCTAACTTAACCCTTACAAAATCGGCTTGTAAAGTGACATCTCCCCACCACTTATATACAAATTTTCAGGTCTTATTTTCAGGTCTTCTCGTGTTCAGGGTTGGTCTAGAGCCTAGCCCAAGTGGCCCGATAGAAGAGGCCCTAATGGATCTTAGAATCTAATATCTTCTTAGAATTCGATTTGAGTTTAAAGAATAATGTTTAGTCTTTTGTATCAAATCAATATCAACTTATTATCAGTCAATAATATTCAAGGTTTTTATTATTGTCTTGTCCTTTTGTCTAAAATCTCATAACTTTAGCAATCCAAGCTCATTTAACATAGTATAAGAGATGAATTTTGCATGCAATGTGGTAAATGGACCCATGTCGAGTCTATGCACGAGGGTGGGTTAAAAATTGCATTTGTGTCCCACCTTGCTAAGGTTTTCAGGTTGTGCGGTGCTTATATGTGTTTGGACACCCTCATCCTTTGAGCTAACTTTTGAAAGCAAGATCAAAGTCTATTTATGTGCTTAACGTATATCTATTTGGTTTTCTATTTCAGAGTTACAGAGATTTAACTGGAACATCTTGGACCCATGTGTACTTCATTAGCTTCTACTTAATTACGGTTTTGCTGCTTTTGAATTTGGTATGATTTAATTTCCCCTTATTTAATACTACTTTATAATTTCATAACGGCGAATACAAATTGCATCTTGGGAATGTGAACATTAGGAAGTTACTATGTTTCTCACATGGACATTCAGACATACTAATTCCTTTCTTATTAAAGTAATTACAAGTTATACATCTATTTATTTAAGTTGTTGTTAGTTATTCCTTATAAGTAATCATATTTAACAATTTTATAAATCAAAGGGAATGAAATATCTAGGTTTTCTATATACCATGATTAAACGTACTCTCTTAGCAAATTTTGCGTAAGTTAGACATGATCGTGCCTTTCCTGTATTTCAGATTATTGCTTTTGTCTTGGAGGCATTTTTTGCTGAAATTGAGCTTGAGTCATCAGAAACTTGTGATGGAGATGACAAGGTTTGTATTTAATATGAACTCTTAAACATTACAGAACTCTAAGTTGCTGCGTCTGTCAAGCAGCTCTTTTCAAGCATTGATTAAATGATGTATAGTTCGGTTGGAAGTTAAAATTTACACAGTTGCACTAAATTTCTTAAGTTATTCATATCAAACTCGTCATGGCTTGAAGTTGACAAATCAGTCTCTTGCAAATGCAAGGCTTGGCTCTCTATTGAATGAGATAAATTGAGAGACATGGTGAAATCGTGTGTTTCAACTTCACAATAGATTCTCTTTATATAAGACTTAAAGTAATCAATACAAACAATGGTAGGAATAATTACATGATATTATATTCCTAATTACGTGATATTTTATCTTGATTTACACAATTCTATTTTATTTTTAATACCCCCTCAAGTTGGAGCACATAAATAATATGCCAAGCTTGTTACACATATATTTGATTTGAGGTCCTCTCAAAGATTTAGTGAAGATATCTTTCAATTGAACATTGATAGATTGGAGGCATCCGTTTCTCATGGTGGGGCGGCGTGTATCAGAGGCATTGGAAATGCCTCCCGCACAAAAGCCGTCCGGTGACTGTTTTGGGCCAGACAATAGTGCCTCTTGGACACCCAATAACCAAATTGAATAGTAAACTAGGGTTAACCTTGACAAAGGCTAAACCCAAAGATAAAACTAGGATTTCGAACCTGCTTTGCATACCATGTTTAATAATATAGAATGATTAACTTGTATTTCACAATGAGGTTGTGCTAATTTATATACAAGAGAGAAAATCTCTCAAGAAGGAAAATAGAAAATAAGAAAGTTAAGTCAATGCTAATAAATAGAGATTAATCAACAGTAACAAACCAAGTTCATTGCAACTTTCTATGAATAGCTGTGGTTTTTCCACTCCTCACTGTATGCAACAATCATTATCCCAATATTATTAATGGATTTGTGCAAGATAAATTTATGTTCTTTCTATGCTCCAAAGATAATTTTGTACAGAATCTTATTGAAGGGAGAAGTAATTTTTAAATTTCTATGTGAGTTTTATTTTATCTTAATACCATTAGTACATAATACATTGATTGTTTGTTAGTTTACATATATAGCTCTCTAACACCTTTATATCCCACTTTCTATTTTCAATCTCAATATAGGAAGTTGCAGGAGATAGATATCCGAGGCGACGAGCTCTTGGGTACGTATGAGTGACTCACATTATTTCTGTGAATGCCCACATTTTTGTGTTTCTTCAAGCTGCCGATAAACTCCTCTGTTTGTATCGATCATAGTCCCACTCAACCTAAATGATTTAGTTAGATGAAGAAATATGAATAATTTTATATCTTTAACACATGGCCTCACAAGAAAGGCCATTGGGCTTGAACAGTAGACAATTCACTAGCTCATTATACCGTATGCTAAAACTAAAATTTAGTTTAATTATGAGGAATGATGGTAATGCTTGAACTTCTAACTACCTATAACGCTCTAATACCATATCTAAACAGTACACCACTCAACTTAAAAGCTTACGTATTAGTTGAAGGCATATTAATGATGATCTTTTTGACAATATTGATTTTCTTTAGAACAAAAACACGAAGCCAGAGGGTTGATGCACTTCTTCATCATATGCTGAGTGCTGAGCTCTGTCAAAATCATCCTTCCAATACATAATTCTGTGTATATCCTTTTCAAGGTAAAGTAATCAAACTTCATAAAATGCTTGTAGAATTCAGTGGTTCTGTTGCCATGAATATATGTTGCGTAACTTTTAATAGATTGTCTGCCAACTAGATAGATGTATTTATTAAGGTCTTCTGTTTTTGCTCTTTTAGGAAAATTGTCGTCCTTCAATACCCTTAAGCTTAATTGTCGTCAGGAGAGAATATGTAGGTAGAGATGAAAAGTTCATTAGAGAGAGAGGGTATATGTGAGAGAGAATAGAGATGATTGGAGTTGTGTAACCAAACTGGGGAGAGACATTTTATAAATTCTGCTTTTGGTCTTTTAACTTTAGGCTAATGAGATTATTCCTGGTAGATTTCATCCTATTATCCTATCATATCATGGACTGGAGCTGTTAACTATTACTGTACATATAGGATGGTAGAATGTGACGTGTTCTGCCTTGTAAGTGTAAACATGGAATCAGTTGACCATGCTTTCTTCTTGCTTGGGGAGAAAGCAAGCTAGAAAAAGAGTGAGCAAATTTTGCTATACCATGGTTTTCTGATGAAAATTTAATGCCTAGTCCTGTATATGCAACTTCTATTATGCTTTTGAAAAAAGTTGCAAATTTGTAATACTATTGATAGCAATAGAATTTACCCTGGAATCACATGTCCAAATTGTATTTGTAAACTTTATGCCATGAATCCTACGATTTGTTGTGTTTTCTTGTATTAATTCATACTGTAGATCAATGCCTATTGAGTAGCTTATATAAATCTGAATCTGTATTTTTTGTGGTTGTAGGATGCACAAAGAAGTCATTTTATTATGTAAAGTTTGTAAGGATCTTTCATGTTTTCTATCTTCATGTTATACTATTTGATTGAATCGATATGGGACGAGGGAAAGCAATATGTTGCAAGTAACTCCAGTAACCTGTGGGTCAGGTCAAACATGATTTTTCCGTTATTGTTTGTGGAAAAAGCACACAATCAAATGCATTGATGAGTTTGTGCTGAATGAGTGTAAATCACAAGTAGCAGGATATTGTAATCCACGAGGTGTTAGCTGACTAGTGTTTCTGTAATGGCAACCTTTTATTTATTTGGTTTTAAAATCCTTTCTGGATTTAATATTCTGTATAGCCTTGTATTTGTATTACCAATACAATTTGGTGGGACTACAAAATGTTGTTCTCTTTTCTTCCAGTATTCTTCATGTTCCCATTCATCATTCAATTATTCAATTATTTAATGTCATTATTTTTTATATTAATTCATTTTAAAATAAATTTTAATTTAAAATGAGTTTTGCTTACTCAACAAAATTCCAAGGTACCATGGAATTTCCCAAAAAAGTATGGGATTTGATGGGAACATATGGCAAATTGCTTCTATACTACCTCTCTGCTATAATATTCGTGGTAAAGAATGTTTCACATGTATGTTGATTCAAAGGATTTGTATATGTTTGAATGTTGAATCAATGCATGAATATATTCTGAAAGTTGTGATTCGTATGCTTCATTCTGAGTTTTTTGATTTTTGATTGATTGTTAGGGGTGACCAATTAATTATCAGGAATTTCTTTTCCCATCTTTATACCTTCTCTCACAAACCCTTAAATTAAAGGCTTTAGTGAAAACTCAAAAATGTCCGTATAGTTTGGATTTGCATCTTCGGATGCATTTATTTTCTACAAAATTGAACGCAAATGTGTGAGCCATCCATATTATACTTAATTTTAGTCTGGAATGATACTGATATTTCAAAATAGAAATAAAAAAAGTATGAGTAAGATTTAGAAATCACAACAACTTGATATTATTTCCTACTTTAAACTTTTCAAGTTCACAACGTCACCATTTAAGCAAAACATATAACTAGATTGTGATTTAAAGTCATCCTTATCTTTCTGGAAGCTAGCATTGATGTATTCAATTATAGTGACCTTTTCTGACCACCATATCTCAGGAATAAGTCCTTAGTCCTTCTCAAGTACTTAAGGATATTCTTGACATCAACCCAGTAAACATCACCAGGATTAGACTGGTGTCTACTTGTTGCACTTAAAGCATATGAGACATCTGGCAAGTACATAACATGCCATACATGATAAATCCTATTATAGATGCATATGAAATCTTATTCATGCAATCCCTTTCTTCCTTTGATAAAGGGGAACATATTTTTGTTCAATACAATCCATGTTGCATAAGTATGAATCATTTCTTGGAATCACGCATGTTAAAGTGTCTCAAGACTTTGTCTATTTATGCACTCTGACTTAGGCCAATAATTCTTTGTAATCTATCTCTATAAATCCTGATTCCTAATATATAGGTTGCTTCACCCACGTTCTTCATTGAAAAAAATTTCCCTTGCCAAGTTTTCACTTGTAAGGTATGTGTATCGTTTTCAATAAGTAATATGTCATCTATATATAATATTAGGAAGACAATTATGTCTCCACTAACCTTCTTGTAGACACAAGACTCATCTTCGTTTTTAATGAATTTATATTGTTTTACTGTTTCACCAAAAAAAAGATTCCAACTTCTAAAAGTTTGGTTCAATCCATAAATTGATCGTTGTAACTTGCATATCTTTTTGGATTCTAGTGGAGTGCAAACCTTTCAAGTTGTGTCATGTAACATTCTCAAGAAGATTCCCATTAAAGAAGTCAATTTTGACATACATCTACCATATTTTATAATCATGATATTCAGCGATAACAAGTAAAATCCGAACAAATTTGAGCATTGCAACTGATGAAAATATTTCATCATAGTCTACACCATGAATTTTTTTATAGTCCTTAGCAACCAGACCTGTCATATAGGTATGTACCTTACCATCCATGTCATTCATCTTTTTGAAGACCCACTTGCATCCTATAGTATTAACTTCTATAAGAGGCTCTACCAAGGTCCAAGTCTAGTTTATGTACATGGAATCCATTTCAAATTTCATGGCTTCTAGCCAGTTCTCAGATTTAAGACCATTGATGGCCTCTTGGTAGGTCACATGTTCATCTTGATCCATGAGTAATACATCATTTTGATCAGTTACGAGATAACCATATCTCTCAAGTTGGTGACATATCTTTTTTGACCTATGTTCGACTTGTCCTACATGAGTAGGTTTTTCTTCCACAAACTCTTATATTTCCCGCTCTTGCTCCTTGATCGGTGATTTTTACACGTTATTTTAACAATTGTTTCTGTTAATCATTTGTTTTATCTTGTCGCATTTTATGTGTTTGTATTATATTTTACGCGTCGATTTGGTATTTTCACTGTCTCTAGGTTCAGGTAACAATAAAGGAGAAGCAGAGCGAAAATCGGGGAAAATGGCAAAGATTCGGAAGAGTTTTGAGGTGGACCAGGAGTCTGAAACGGCCGCCCGTGTCCCATGACACGGCCCGTGTCAGGAAGGGCTCAGAAGCTCACGAAGTTGAAGAGCCAGCCCAAGAACCAGCAGCCTGACACGGGTGCCCGTGTTCCATGACACGGCCCGTGTCAGGGCCCCTGATGATGAAGAAATTAATCCACGAGTCAGCAGCCAGACACGGGTGCCCGTGTCCCATGACACGGCCCGTGTCAGGGCTACTGAAGCTAAAATGTTTATGTTTTGTGTTTTATGCTGACTGTGCTATCTCGGAGGGCAGTTTGGACATCTCGCATTGTAATTTGAATTTTTTATATATTAGACGGATCGTGAATGAAAAAGGCGACTTTTGGACAGAAAGAAATTTCACGAGAAAGATTGGAGCGATCAAGGTGTTGGGAAACTGAAGGTCCTCATGAGCGGAAGCGATTGAAGATCAAAGCAACCGATTATCTTATAATGTTTAATCTTATTGTTGATTTTATCTGTATTATTATGAGTAGCTAAACCCCCCAATGCTAGGGGGTGTTCCTGAATCGACTCTGTAATAACCTTGTTTCCTTTGAATAATGGATTTCACTGCTTTCTAATCATCGTTGTTATTGTATAATTTTCTTATGGCTTTTCTTATTTTACAAATAAGGATTTGAGTTACGGTTAACCTTAGGTTTGGAAAAACGATTGTTAACGTGTTTATACGATAATACTATTGTAGATATTGCCTAGGAATGGGGATACCCTATAGTAACCGTAATGTTTTAGATAAAATATATTGCTTGGGATTGTTCCTATACCGCCAAGGAATTGGGGCATAGGAAGAATACCAAAGGGTTGTCTGCTAAGGAATTAGAGTAAACTAATCTTTAAAACCGGTAACGATTGAATTGAGCAGTGATTTCTGAAAACTAAGGATTAAGGTTATTACAAGGCTCTTCATACACCCTACCCTAGCATGCTTCTCATAACTGTTTAAAACCTTTATTTTACTACTTTTGCCTTTTAACTTGATAATTCTAAAGAAACAAACCAAAAACCCTATGACTTTTTGTTCAATTGCATTATTATAGAACTTGTGTTCATACACAGTCCGCGAGATCGATATTCGGGGAATTTCCTCTTATTACTACATCAGTACAATTAGTACACTTGCTAATTTACCGGTCAAGTTTTTGGCGCCGTTGCCGGGGACTACCAGAATATAAGTTGTATTCTAATTCAATTGAAATTTTGTTGCTCTGCGACCAAAATTTTATTTTCAGTTTTCATTTTTAATTTTTATTATTATTATTTTATTACTACTAATCTGCGTCTAACATTTTCATGCGAGGAGATCCCTCAGCTAATTTTTCTTTGGACGCAGAAATTGAAAGGACTCTATGCGAAAGACATAGACAAGCTAGACTATTGGCTTCAGAAGAAGAAAGGGTTTCTGTTCATTCAGATTCAGGTTCGGAATCAGAAAGAGACACTGAAGCTATGACTGATCTCCCACCAGCGGAGAGACGTCTTGGAGACTACGGAGGGGCCAATGCTCAACCAAACCGGATGACCATCGTTAATCAACCAGTGAATGTGGCACACTTTCAGCTACATCCTTCCACAATTCTCCAGTTG